ACACACACACACACACACACGCTCGCTCGCACGCACGCACGCACGCACGCACACGCATACACACATAGATTTTAGCAAGGAATTTTACCTCCGTTAAATATTCCGCAAGCCAAACATAGATCCAATTAAACAGTATTATACAACAGAGATTAATGCTTGCAGCAGTCGCAGTTGTAAATAATATAGCATAACTAGTTACCATAGGGTGCCCATAAACGCTTAGTGCAGTTAAAACAGACATTCTGTATAGAACTACACCGAGTACAGCAGCCATTGCTACAACTATCTATAAAAAAAGTGAACAGAAAATTATATAATTATATAATAACTATATAATTATATAAATTATATAATAACAAAATTATTACAACAATTTGTTTATATAAATACTGTTAAATTTATTTATCTTACCTTCTGATTTTAATAAATAAATAAAATAAAATTTCAAAATAAATTAATAATTATCATGCAGTAAACAATAAGTAACAGTAATATTACGTCAATATCACAGCTTATCATAATGCAAATGTGATGTAACACATGTTGTATCTCATCGCGCGAAAGCTATTTATTTAAATACTTCAACCACTTTCTATGTCGTCTCCCATCTATATAAAAATTTTCTCTTAGGTTCTCTCAATAACAAATTTCCGAAACCGCCTTCCTCTTTACCCACTCAACACCACGAGCGAATAAATAGTGAAAAAGTCTTTTCCCTTTCCTGATTCACATTCCTCCCTATATTCTCTCTCTATCTCCCCTCTACTTCACTCCCTCTCTCCCTCTCTCTCTCTCTCTCTCTCTGTCTCTCTCTCTATCTCTGTCTCTGTGTTTTACTACTTACTCGCATATGATTTTAGTAAAATAGAAAGGTAGTCGACAAAAACGGGAATTCGTTGCTGAAAATATTTCGGAAAAAGACATTGAGTAGATAAGATGGAGATGACTTGGAAACGTGTAGAGCTATCTAAAAGGCGAATTTTCGCTCCTCCCGATTGTACATAACAGTTACATTGTTGAGTAGAGAATTACGATTCCCAGAAAACTTAATGACGTATTACTAATGTGAAAAACATGAAACTTTTATTAATTAGTGACATCAAATGACTCGAAATGTGTTTTCTTTTATACGATTTCATTTACATCTCCTGATTTACACTTCAGCATTACGTTTGTATGTTGTTTCGTAAGATGACTCCAAACCACTTATCCTTAAAAAATCATATTTCCGAGTAAATTTTGAGGCTTTTTCTTTTGAAAGAGAGAGAGAGAGAGAGAGAGAGAGAGAGAGAGAGGAGGAAGAAGCAGAAAGAGAGAGAAGAAAAAGGAGAGCGAGAAAGGGAGAGAAAGAGAGAGAGAGAAAGAAAATGAGGGGCAGGGAACTGGAGGAAATGGGGGGGGGGATAGAGAGAAAGACTTTGCTAAAACGTTTGCGTAAAAGTATTGTTATTCGATGCTTATTGGAAAAATTTAATATTATTTATATATTTCTTCCAAATAAGACTAACAAAAAAGGACATATAAAAAATAAAATGCATGTGAAATAAAAGAACCCTCCAAGCACATTGATGGAACCCCTCAGGCTCATTGCAAGACGTGTCCAGACACCCGAGGACAACCAAACAACCCGTCGACCCCGGGGCTTTTTCTACGATTTACACCGAATGAGGAGGAGCAACGGTGAAGACAGACATATATGGCATAGCAGGTCTTAAAAGATAGCAACCTTTGATTTTGAGAGACTGACAGCCCTTATGAAAAAGTACTATTAGTGGCACTGTTAGAACTATAGCACTAATGATATGTTCGCTATAGTGACACTATTAGTGACACTATTAGTTAGAGTGACCAGATGTCCCGATTTTTTCGGGACATTCCCGATTTTTACCCTTCATTTCAAATTTTTTCGAGTACTATTCGGGACACGGATTTGTCACCATTTTCAATAATTGTCAAATAATTTTCGGATCTTTTTATCCTCCTTCCCCAGCTTCACATATTTATAAAGTGTCCCGAATGCAGAGGTGAGAAATCTGGTCACCTTACTATACTTAGTGTCACTATAAACTATTAGTGACACTAGTAATAGTTAGTAGTAATAGTTCTAGTAGTTATTTTTAAAACGTTAAAGTAGGCTAAGTTCACTCTTTTTAAAAAAAGTTTTTTCAAATGTTTTTAAAATATTTAATAAATAGTTTTTTTAAATATTTATTAAACGTTTACGTAAAAACATTTACGTATAAACGTATAAACATTTATGTTTAAACGTTTACGTATAAACATTATAAAAATATTTATAAATATATAAATATTTTTCTTTTCTTGAATTTTTTTAAAATTTCCACTTTATTGTTTCACACGCTACTTAATTCAATTTAAATTGTACTTCGAAAATTTGCTTACAATGCTGGGACTCGAATCTGAGACCTCTGCTTCTTGAGTCGTCCACCTTACCTACTGCGTCACCGTCACTTTTACCAAGAGACACTTTATATTGTATACATATGGTATATCCATGTACGAAAACAAATGATTTATTAAAAAGAAAAGAATACATCTTTTTAAATGTAAAATGTATGTTTGAAAAATAAATATTAAATCAATATTAAAGAAATGTTTATTTAAATATTATTTTAAATGTTTCATTAATATAATACAAATATTAAAATAATATTAAATAAATGTTTCTTTAAGTATTATTTTAAACTTTAAGTTTTATTTCAAATAAACGTTTTATATCAAATAAACATTAAATAAATGTTATATAAATATTTTTCTTAAATCTTTATTTTAAATGTTTAATAAATGTTATATAATCATTTAATAAATATTAAATAAATATTATTTTTACAATAAACTACAATGTAATATCAATGAAAAATAAATGTTTAAAAAACGTTTAAAAAATATTGTCTGCTAATTGGGTAGAAATGTAATTGTCATAGAAAATAAATTTTTGTACAGGAAAAATAATATTTAATAACCTTATAAACGTATTCCTGTAATAATGAGTTATCTTTCATAGTTTTTCTATAATAATAATAAAGTTTACATACTTTTACACATCAGCTCATCAAGTGTCACTTATAATACTCGTATTACCACTATTGGCATTTGTAGTGTCACTTCTGACATTATTGGTGTCACTAATAGTATCACTGCTAATACTAGTAGTGACACTATCAGCACTAATAGTGTTACTATTAGTATTATTAATGTCACTACTAGAGTCACTAACAGTGCCACTATTAACATTAATAGTGTTACTATCAGCACTGATAGTGTAACTAACAGTATCACTATTATCACTAATAGTGACACTACTAGCACTATTAGTGAAACTATTAATGACATTATTACCACTAATAGTATTTTTTTATAAGGGAGCTGTACCACTTGATACGGTAACATTGTTTCTCTTTGTAGTTGCCGTGCGCTCGGGATAATACTAGAGATGTCGCTTCCGAACAGGATCTCTTAGAGACCCTCAAACAGATGGTCTGTTCTTTTCAGCTGCACTGTTGAAATGGTGCGATAAGTTAGAGTGAGAAAACATATAATTGTCTCACTTTAACTTATTACACCAGTTAAGCAGTGCAGCTGAAAAGAACAGACCAAGAGACTGGCTATTGGGAGTCTCCGCGCGATTGGCGCACGAGATAATGGTCCGAAAAATGGTGGCACTAATACGGAGCTGTGTAGATTGTACGATACACACGCACACATTTCATAGATCACGCACTCACTCACCAGTTCACACATATTCACCGCCGTCATTTTTCGGACCATATTCTCTAGCATGTCCAGTCCCTGTTTGAGGATCTCTAGCATCTCTAAACACTATCTGAAAGGAAAGCATCATGAGTGTGGAGTGCAGATAGCTTAACGGTTTAGAACAGTCGCCCGACAAGCGAAAGATCCGGGTTCGATTCCCGGCCTAGCAAACCGCGCTTTCGATATTTTCCTTTCTCCTAAATGAAAAGAAGACGCAGATCCCGACCGCACGGCGTCCCGCCGCCACTAAGTATGCCTTCCTCCTTCTACACAATAAAACAATATATTATAATCAACTATCATCTTTATTTTAATATTTTATTGTTGCTTAACCTTTTTGAACTCACCCTAGCTTTTTTGACATGTAAACTCACTTACTTTAATAATATAAAATGGGTCTGTGAGACCCATTTTATACTATTAAAGTATAATGTTAAAAGTTCGTTTTTGACACGCTCCTTGATTTTGTTATAGTTTAGAATATCTTTTAATGAAAAAGCAGAATAAATAGTAAAGAAAGTCAGCCTTTATTTTTCATAATATCTTTGGAAGTTATCTTAGAAAATATCGAGGTTAACGTTATCTCTATAAAAAAAAAAGAAATAAAAACGTAACTTCCTCATTTTAATTTTCAAAAGTCAATAACATATACAAAATATAAAGAGCATAGTAACATAAAATAAGAACTATTCATTATAAAATGCTTATACATAACAGTTCTAGCTTATTATAATACGCTATTATAGTATGCTGTTATAGCGTATGTTTATAGATAAATTTTCAACAAAGTTGACACAAATACCTCATAAAATATTAAGATAAAAGTCACATGAATAGAAAATAAATAAAAACAAAACTTATTTGTCTTAAACTTTGAAAAGTCGGTAACATAATATATATGAAACATAAAATAAAAACTATAAAATGCTTATACATAGCAACTCTGGTTTATTATAATACGATATTCTACATAAATAAATTTTCCGTAAATTAAAAAAAAAATACGCCACAAAATATTGAGATTAGAAATTATCATGTTTATGATGAAAAAAATACATAAAGGCCGGTATTCATAGTCGAATCTTATTTCAAGACCATCTTAAGTCCCAGATAACAATTTTTGCGCGCAAATATTTGCGCACATTACGCATGCAAACATTGCACGATATTTGCTTACGTTTTACTTGTAAATTTGTTTAGTCATATATATTGTACGACATGGCGTACAAATGGCTAGCTCATATATTGCTCCATATACCAACAAATCACATACAAATAGTTTGCATATCGTTTGGCAGTATTTTGTATGATTCATAAGTAAGACATCTGTTCGTAAATCGTTTGCTAATCTCGCGCAATTCGCTTGCATTTTTAGTCTTACTTTATTGCGTGCAATTTGTAAGATGAAGGCATATTATATACACTGATTTTCAAAACAGCTTGAACACTTTTAATGCAGTTGGAGACACATAAGCGATGGTCCAATGAAAGAAATCGTTTTCGAAAAATTCTTAAAAAATAAATTCTTACTAAAATTCTATAATTTATATTACATACCATTATGAAAAATATACCGAAATTTTCAGTGTTAACCGTCAACTTGGATGTCAGTTAAAAGTTTAACATCAATTTTGGTACCATTTCGAGTGTTATCCTTAAATGGTTGGTTGTAACCCTCATTTAGAAGGTTAATTTTGGTGTAATCATCAAATAATTAAGTATCGGTTGAGTGTAATAGTTAACCTGGGTATGATTTTTTGTATTATCTCCAAATATTTGAGTGTGACTTTCATTCAGACTATCATTTTCGGTGTCACTATGAAATGAGTAGCAATTGGATGTGACCGTCAACTTGAATGTTATTTTTGGTTTTACCTTCAATAGTTCAGTGTCGATGGGATGTTAACAATTTATGTATTATATATAATATTACACATATATATATATATATATATATATATATATATATATATATATATATA